AAAAAAAAAAAAAAAAAAAAAGAAAAGAAAAGCATATGGAGCAACAGCACACCAAAGAGCCTGGATTTGGCACATCCAGAAGTAAAGACTAAGGAAGCAAAAGCATTTATTACAGACAATATGAGCAGGAAAAAGAAAAAAAAGGTGGCTGAGCACGGTGGCTCACCCCTGTAATCCAAGCACTTTGGGAGGCCAAGGCGGGTGGATCACTTGAGGTCAGGAGTTCGAAAGCTGACCAACATGGTGAAACGGTCTCTACTAAAAATATAAGACAATTAGCCAGGCGTAGTGGCAGGTGCCTGTAATCCCAGCTACTTGGGAGGCTGAGGCAGGAGAATCGCTTGAACCCGGAAGGCATAACCGAGATCGCGCCGCTGCACTCCAGCTTGGGTGACAGAGGGAGACTCCTTCTCAAAAAGAAAAAAAGCTGTAAGTCAAGTAAGGTTCAAACACTAAGAAGACAGTAAAATACGAATTTGGGGCAAGAGATTACGGAAGACACCGGGAAACTAAACTATGAATCTGTGTCTGAGGTAAAACATTTCAATGTTTCCGTTTCTGCAGCTCTTCCCTAAGAAATGGAAGCCCAGATTGCCTGGGAGTCAGGAGACTTCGTTTCCAGCTCCCGCCCCTTACTGCTGCTGCAAATCCATGACTGGCCAGAGACCATCCGCTGCAGCGGACGTCGGAAACCGAGAGCTCGCAGTTCAGGAGGCAGGAAAAAGACATGCCCGCGCTCTCATCCCAACAGGTGCCTCATAGCGTTTGGCCAGCGTAAGCTCCGTTCGGCCCCCACTTACCCAGGGGCCCCTTCCCCGCGGCCTTTGCTTTTAGCTCTTCGAGTTTCTTCTGCTCTTCTTTTTGTTTCTGCTTGAAAGCCTTATCTTCCTGGGGAGAAGAGGAGCGGGTTCAACTCAGACCTGTCTCCCAGCCCCTCCGCACCCGCCCGCGCCTCCACGCCCGCCCTCACCTCGTCCATCTCCTTGGCCTGCTTCTTGGGCTGTTTCAGGGGCTTCTTCTTGCCACCTGTGGGCGACACGAGCACATTCGGCCTGCCCCCGCCGCCTGGTCCCCGCCCCACCGTCCCCGTAGCCCTCACCGTCCAGGAACACTTACCTTCCCGGCCGGACATGGCGCCTGCCGCCCCTTTCCCAGACCCTGCCACCGGAAACGGAGCGCCTGCCCCTACCCGCTTTCGTAGGCAGGGACGCAGCCCCGCTGATTGGTTCCTAGTCAGGAAGTTGAACTCTCGCTACCGGATGCGGCCTGCCAGGGGCGGACACTAACAGGTCAGAGGTCAGTTGAGTGGCAGACGCTCTGTCGGGCCGCGCCAGGTACGAGGAGCTAGGGTGGTCCTGCCAGGGTAGAATCCGGAACCGCAGAATGGGTACTTAATCGGAAGCCCCCCGCCCCGCCCCGAGGCCTGTAGCTGTGCACGGGAAGAGCACTGCAGGTAGACAGCAGGGCATGTCCATGTGTAAAAGGCCTTGAAGCTCGGCGCGTTCCTGGAACCAAAGAAAGCACAGCTTGGGTGGAGGGAGATTAGGCGGGGAGGTGGCAGAAGTGGACGGGAGTTATATCTCCTGGTCCTATAGCTTTGGAAGCCCCTGTACAAACTGTAAGGAGTTTGTTTTATAATATAGTCAGGGGTGCAGCAGTTTGCGAATTCTGTTTATTCATCCAGTACATATGTACTGTATGTAGGTACCAAGCTGACATTCTAGTAAGTGAGACGGACTATAACCAAGTAAGTGAAATACGTAATCTCAGGTCATGGGATATGTGCATGGAAAAAATAAAGCAGGGAAAGTGGATCAGGAGTGCCAGGGTGGGAGTGGGATGGCCATATCTGATAGGGTGTATGGGGAAGGCCTCCCAGGGGCCTACTATGTGAGCAGGACTTGAAGAGGTGAGGAGCAAGCAGCACAGATAGCAGCTGGCATGAAGGCCCTGAGGTGGGGATAATCTGGTGCGCTCCAGTAACTTCAAGAAGGTCCATGTGCTTGGAGTGGAGTGAGGAAAGGGAGACTAGTGGGAGATGAGGTCAGAGACGTATGAGAGCCAGTGGGTAGATTCCCTTTAGGGCATGGAAAGGACAGGCTTTTACCTTGAGAGAAGTGGGGAACCGTTGTAGGGGTTGAGCAGAGAGACATGGTCCCAACCTGTGTTTGGAAAGGAGCACTGACTGCTCCATAGACAATAAATTGCAGGGGCTGGAATAGAAGAAGGGTGACATCTGTCAGGAGACTCTTGGGGTAATCCAGGCTAGAGATGTAGGTCATTGGGACCATTTGGGAGCAGTGGCAGAGGTAAGAGGAGGAAGGATCCTGGATTTAGAAAGCCAATGGCATTTGCTAGATGGATGTGAGGTGGGAGAGAAAAGTGGGGAATTGCAGGTAATGCGAGGTTGTTGGCCTGAATATTTGAACTTGGGATTGCCCTCATCCATGATGGAGAAGGCTGTGGGAAAAACAGGTTTGGGACAGGAAGATGAGATCCCCATTAGGTTTTCAGGCAGAGATATGGGTTGGGAAATCTGATAAATGAGCCTGGAACCCTGGGGAGAGAGGTCTGGGCTGGAGGAGTCAAGAGTGTAGTTTTGTTTTGTTTGAGATGGAGTCTTGTTCTGTTGCCAAGGCTAGGGTGCAGTGGCATGATCTTGGCTTACTACAACCTCAGCCTCCCGGCTTCAAGCGATTATCCTGCCTCAGCCTCCCAAGTAGCTGGGATTACAAGTGCCCACCACTGTGCCTGGCTAAGTTTTATATTTTTAGTAGAGATAGGGTTTCACCATCTTGGCCAGGCTGGTCTCAAATTCCTGACCTCGTGATCCACCTGCCTTGGCCTCCCAAAGTGCTGGCCTCCCACAGTGAGCCACTGTGCCTGGCCAGTTTTTTTTTTTGTTGTTGTTGTTGTTGTTTTTAAATAACAGCTTTATTGATATATAACTTGCATACCATAAAATTCACACAATATGTACAATTCAGTGGTTTTAGTATATTCATACAGTTGTATGTCTGTCACCAAAATAAATTTTTTAGACCATTTTTATAGATGAATTTTAAAGCCCCAGGACTAGATAAGAGAGGAGTCTGAGTGCTGAGCGCTAGGGTGCTACAGAGTCTGGACAGTGTTCAGAGGTTAGGCAGATCAGTGGGGACTGGAAACCAAGTGAAAATGGCATGTGAGGGAGGAGGGAGTGAGGCCGCATTAGTGGGAGCTGGATGGAATCAGTGAATTCAGGCAGTCTGTCAAGGAGTTTAGTTATAAAGGGAAGCAGAGAAATGGGGCAGTTGGTGGTGGGGGTGTCAGATTGATTAGCGAGCAATGTCTCAGAAGGAGAGAGGATTTGGGACCTGGGGCACAGGCTGGTCTTCCCTAGAAGCATGGTGTTTTTTTTTGTTGTTGTTGTTGTTTTGAGATGGAGCCTCACCCTGTCCTCCAGGCTGAAGTGCAATGGCGCAATCTTGGCTCACTGCAACCTCTGCCTCCTGGGTTATAGCGATTCTCCTGCCTCAGCCTCCTCCCAAGTACCTGGGATTACAAGCACCCACCACCATGTCTGGCTAATTTTTGTATTTTCAGTAGAGATGGGGTTGGTCAGGCTGGTCTTGAACTCCTTCAGGTGATCCACCTGCCTTAGCCTCCTAAAATGCTGGGATTACAGGCATGAGCCACTGTGCCTGGCCTGAAGCATGGTTTTTTTTTTTTTTTTTTTTTTATCCTGAGGATCAATAAATGAGGTGGAAATGGGGCAGTTACTAGTGGTTGGGAAGGTATGGTGGGAGTTTGTGGAAGTTCTCCAATTTTTTATTTTCTTGGTGTAAAATGAAGCAAGCAGTCCATCAGCTGGAAGTGAAGATGAGGAGCAGATAATAGAGGCTTGAGAAAAGGGCAGTTGGAAGAAGACAGCCATCTACATAGAGTAGGAGAATGGATCTGAAGGGGCAGAATTCTGAACTTGACTCTTAGGGCCCTGCTTCACCTGTCTAACTTCTCCATCCACTCTTTGCTTTTGCTTTCCAGCTGCACTGACTGCCTTTCAGGTTTTGGCTGACCTCAGGCACTTTCCACCTTTTTCCTCTGCCAGGAACATCTTCCCCTTGCTCGTTGAAGGGCCTGTGAAACATCTAAGTGGTGACATCCTCAGGGCTGAGAAACAGGGCCCAGGATTGGGGGCTGGTGGGGTGGTGGAGAAGGAGGGACCGGAGTGGAGAAATAGCTTGGGAATTATTGCTACATTCCTTTATGAAGTCTCTGCTGCCACCTAGCTTGTGTCCTAGTGAGAGAATAGGCAACACGTAAGCAAGGAAATGTGTCCATCAGGAGGCAAATGAAGCAGAGAAGGTAGTTGGGGAGGGAGTGGTCAAGGAAGTCTTACTGAGGTGATATTTGGGCAAAGATGAAGATGTTAGGGTGAGCCGAGTAGACTTGTGGTGGAAGAGTCATCCAGCTGGAAGAGCACAGAGGCTGGAGCAGAGTATGGCAGTAGAAGGAAGAGGATGAGGGCTGAGAGGTCTCAGGGCTTTTGGCCATTGCCAGGTGAAATGAGAGCTGTTGGGGGGGGGTTGATCAGAGGGATATAATCTGATTTATGTGCTACAGAGCCTTGGGCTGCCATGTGCAGAACCTGGGTGTTGGGAGAGCAGGGGAGAAAGCTGAGATTGCGTAGGAGACAGTAGTTGTCATCTCTGCCAGGAATAGGTGACCTTCCTGGGGTCCAAGAGTGGGTAGCTAGTAGAGGAGGTGCTGGGAAAGGAGGCTGAGAAGGTTCTGGAGGAAGCCAAGAGGGGCAGTGATGTTGGGAAGAGGGTGTTGAAAGTGGTGCCAGGCATGGCAGATGCTGCATGCTTTGTTTGCTTTGATGAAGGATACACCTGCAGGGCTGTTATGGGGTTCCAGCCTGTGTGTCATGGGTGCTGGCATTAAGGCCTGGGAGTCTGACTGGGCTGCTGGGGCCTGGATGGTATGTAGCCTCATGGGCATGGAACCCAGCCTTATGAATGGGGCCCAGGTGTTTGGGTGTGGCACCAGCTTGGGACCACTGTCACAGTGATGTTCCCTCCTGAGGCTCTCAACTCAGGCCCACTTTGCCCAGAAGCCATGTTCCTACCCAACCAGCTGTTTTCAACAGGCCTGAGCTTCTCCAAAGACAGTTCTTAGCACAGCATGATGGAGAGGAGGCTGGGATGCTGTGGGCGGCCTCTGTCTCACATCATTTTCCATCAGGAAGCCCCTTTCTGTTCTGTATCTGGAGCTCCTTCAATCCCTTCCTGTCTGCAGCTCTCTCTGCCTTTCTCTCTGGCCTGCTCTGTTGGCCACCAGGTGTCGCTCTCACAGCCAGGATCAGCACTTAAGGACTTCGAGGTGTGGTTTGGCCAGAGGAGGGTGCTGTTAGCTCAGCTTTTTCCAGGAAAATGGGTCACCTGGCCACCTTTTTCGGGGGCAGGGGGGTCCTCAGAATCACTGCCACTCTTGGGGTCAGGTGAGGCCTGATTCTGGATAATGGGAGACTCCTTGCTGTTCAGGTAATGAAAAGCAGGCCCAAACATCAAAGCAGATGCAAAAAGGAAAGATTAGAGAAACCTAACCCACTGGGTGCAGTGGCTCACGCCTGTAATCCCAGCACTTTGGGAGGCCGAGGCAGGTGGATCATGAGGTCAGGAGTTCAAGACCAGCCTGGCCAAGATGGTGAAACCTACTAAAAATACAAAAATTATCCAGGCGTGGTGGCAGGCGCCTGTAATCTCAGCTGCTCAGGAGACTGAGGCAGAGAATTGCTTGAACCCAGGAGTTGGGGGTTGCAGTGAGCTGAGATCATGCCACTGCACTCCAGCCTGGGCAACAGAGTGAGACCTAGTCTCAAAAAAAAA